TCTCGATATAACGACACTGCTATATAACGACATCTCGTTATACTGACAAAAATCCTGGAACAAAAAATCTATATAATAAAATTTATTCGATGTAACGACTTTGCATATAAATTTTCGTTATAACGGTATAACGACATTTTTTGGGAAATGCTTATTAGACAAATCTTAAATAATAATGACACGCAAATTTGAGTGACACGCATCTCCTTTTTTGTTTATTAAGCTCCATTTTAAGTTAACTGAAATTTCTTTTCATTAATATTAATACAATACTTATCTAAGAATTACCTCTTAATGACATTAACAAAGCAGAAAAGGTAGGCAGAAAATTTATCATAGTATTTTATTATAATGCTTAATTAATTTAGAAAAAAACTCAGCAGTGCAAGAAATGAACTCAAAAAAACAAACAAATTTATCCAATAAAATTGACTTATAAAGTTAAGTTCTCGATATAAGGACTTTTTTGATATAGCGACCATTTAGGTTGGAACCGAGCGTATCGTTATATCGAGACCCACTTGTATAGGCTTTATGAGCGTAGCTTGCTTCGTTCAAAAGTCTTAGGTCTTAGCGATTTAAAGTTTGTATTTTTTACTATTGGCGATATCCCTTGCCTGAATGCAAACTGAGCTATTCACAAAACGCACATTAACTGTGGATACGAGCGAAGGAGTAACCTAAACAAAAGGGAAACGAGTAAGAAGCGGAATGTAATTTATTAGCTTGACTTGGTATTTTTCAGTAAACGCGTGAAGGAATGATTATTGATCTGACGCACATATCTATAGCCACCAAAACGTGATTGCTAGCAAGTGGGCATTGACTATTTTTACTAATAGCATGGGAATTTCGTATATTTGGACAATTCGCACCGTCACATCTAATAGGGTCGAACTGTATTAATATTTTAACCATGTTATAAATGTGCCGCTGATTTTCCAGCCACACCAGCCATTTTGATCGAATGTTCACGCGCATCGATACATGTTTACTCAATCTTGCAACCGTACTTACGCAGGCTTTACGAATTCTTAATATTTATAGGAGAGGGACTCTTTAAGATTTAGGGAGAAGCCATCACAACCATTAGTGAAGATTGTGTCATCAGTTTCAAGCATAGTAATGAAATAATATATACATTCCTTTATTAATACATAACAAACTAACTTTATACACGTCGCAGTCGTTATTTAGTCTCAAATAAAGTTGCTATTGTAACAAATAAGTTCCTAATACGATTTCATATTAGACCGTTATCCTGGATAAACTCATCGCAAACTTCCACCAATTTTGTCGCCTCACACGCCTCAGCTGCAATCTTGATATCATCAACATTAACACGTGTCAAATGGCATGATAACCTACTCTCCATTATTGCCTGCAGATTATCTAATTTGTAATAATCTGAAGCCCATAGAATATCCAGATACACCTGCACCAAATCGCTCTCATCCTCCATAGGAGTTTCTACATTCTTAATCGCATCATCAATCTTCATTCCATATAGAAATCTCAAAAATATCTCGAACGATCGTGGTAGCATTTCTGTAATAGTGTGAATCGATGGCTCTAAGGGAGTATGCGGTTTGAAGTTTGAATTACTAATGAACCGTTCAAACATCCCTCCGTTAGCTGCTAGTACGTATCTATTGGCATAGAACTCTTGTCCTTGTACTTTAAAGACAGTATCATGTATTGTTGGTCCTTTAAGTAGAAGCTCCATCATACCCTTGAGAAATGATTTAGATTGATCGTATTCGGGTTCTTCTAAGCGCTTACTAATTACTGTCCCAACTCCTACGGCCTGGAGCAATTTCGAAAATGGCTGAAGACTATTTTTGATATAATCAGGCTCTTGTTTCGTGGATCCAAACTTTAACTCTGAAACGTCTTTCCAGTTACTCGAGTCGTATGGGTCATCATCCTTATTATCACATTCTACGTTCAAGAAAACAGGCCCAGCGTCTTCCAGGCATTCTCCAAAATCTGAATCTCCCTCATACTCTGTAAGCATATCACTCAAAGTTTGGTAGATAGTTCTAGTAAGTTCGATTATTGCATACCTTCCTTCCTTCTTCCATCTAGGAGATGTGATCAACTTGGTAGAAACATATACCAAGTGTTCAACAATCCTTTCAGGCTTTGGCTTCCCGCAATTCGGATGTGCCTGTTTCATAATTCCTTTCGGAACTGCATTCTCGTCGATTACTGGCGATTGCGTCCAAGCAACATCAACATATTGTGGTAGGCAGAGTTCCCTGAATGATCCAAATCCACCCTTAGCAAAAGCAAAGTCATATCTGAGAGGTGTTTCACGCACTGGGGCAGTTGGGACAAATTTTTCCGTCATGATATACCGCCACTGCTCGCTCGAGAAAGTCAAACTGGCGAAATTATTGTACAGATAATTCAAAGCGGCAAAGGCATTATTACGAAAGCCAACAGTATCGAGCCGTCTAACCACTGCCTTCTCCACTTGAGATGAAATGTACTCGATACATGATGTGAAACTATGTGGAGTTACTGTTGCATTTAGACCAATATTACATAATATCCGCATCGAATCTCTGCTCGTATCAAAGCTCGTACTCAACAGCTTTTCTGGGGCTCCGTTAAAGACTTCACGAAACAATTCTACCCTCTCATCAAAAAGATCTTTAGGCTTGGCTAACTTGCCTCTTCGATTCGGGATACTCTTGTTTTCTTTGAGATATGTCAAGACTTCACTTTGTTGCAATTCCAAAATGGATTCCAGAAATCGCACGTACAGCTCGGTTTTTTCACCAACGTCTGAACGTAGTATTTTACCGACTGTCAAATACTCATATACGGTAACCTTCTTAGCACCGAGAGCGCACAAAATTTCAAAGTCTTCATTATCTTCAGGACCAATCTTGAATATGTTGGGAATTTGCTGAGAGGGATAATACTTTACTTCTTTTTGGAGAATTCTACCTTCGGATGGTGCTACAAGCTGCTCTTCATTATCACGCAAAGGATAAATTGGCCACATGCGAAGATTCTTGAGCACGTCTCCATAGCCGCGCCGATCTTCCGGTGACGCTTTTTCCCAGATTTCGGACCAGTTTCTTCGTACAAGCTTCCTCAAAATATTAACTGCTTCAGAATTCCAAGATTTTAAAAAGTCTTTTGGTTTGCCCTCATTCTCCCAAACCATTTGTAAAACTGTGAGCACGTTAACATCTGACCATTCAAGTATATACCTCCGAGTACTGTCATTCGGCTTGTCGATAGATCTGCCAGTGAATAAAATTCCGAGCTTGATCAAGCTATTGTACAATTCTTTGTCAACCAGTGCATGCACAAAACTTAAAACGGGAATGTTTCTCTCGATTGGAACTAGGTATGTATCAGCAGGATTATCGGCATTGACGATGTCGAGAATCGGGTACCTTTTGAACAGATTTATATCTGTTTTAGATTTAAGTAACAAGTCCCATATTTTGTTAAGACATTCACGGTTTAACCATTCCTTATTCGGAGCTCCCCCGTAAGAATCCCAAGGTTTGATTTCAAAACCGGGGTTTAAGTGCTTCTCGAGCTGTAAAAGTGCCGCATGCCCGTCAAATTTCTTCACATTTGTCCAGGAAGAAACATCACCCTCAACATCACTAATGAGTTTATAAAGCTTGTTGGATTTGTCAATTAGTCGAGATGTATCGTAATTTGGAAACAGGGCTAGATCATTATCCGTTGCGGTGTAATAACATGACGAATCGTCTGTAGCACCAAATCTTTTCATAGTGCCATCCTTCAATGGTAGCAGTCGAATGCCTTTCAACTCATCATATCGCTTATCGTCCATCAGGAACTTGAGGACATTCTCGCATTCGTCTGCACTCAGGAAGGTAGCTAGTTCTTTGTCCTTTAATTGTCGTCTCGCTTCGTTAGAAGAGACCACCTGATCTTCACTTATTCGTTTTAATTCTCTTAGATCTTTGATCCTATAAGAAGGTAAATATACTACACGACAGCCATAATGCGCGAGGGCTTTCGCAACGCTTTCTTGAGAGCAAAAAAACCCTTTTTTTAGAGAAACCTTTTGGTCGGGTGAACCGTAAAGTCTAAAAAAGGGATAATCACTTGGAAGTATTGTTAAAACTGTCAGTCCATACATGCGAAAGTGGTCTTTTTGTTGCTTATTCTTGGATAATGGCCAAAACAGCTCAATTGGACGGCGATTATTAGTTTTTGGTAATTCGAAGCCTTCGCACTGGTCAAGCGCTATTAAAAGATCCACGTATAGCCTCGGTAATACTCTCGTAAGTATATATTCATTCCACTTCAGTTTCAAATGATCTTGATCCATGTCCTTTTGTTTAGATTTAGTAGGAAATCGTATGCTTTGTCGGTCTGATGATAACGCCCACGAAGCATTGATATGAGCACAAATTCCAGTACTCTCCTGTAACGGAAAGTAACAGAATAACTGTCCATCCTCTCCAATTCTCTTTCCATTTCCTTTTTTTGTTTTTTTTTGGGGGGCTTTTACGGGTTTTTTTTCAGACTCCTTGGTCTCGTCTACAGGTTTATCTGTTTCCAATAAGAGAAAAGCAATACCTCCGCAAACTTTGCGAGTGCTACTTTTCGTTGCTGTCCCTAACTCGGTTGACTCATCCAGCATTTGGTATCCAATAGAGCAGACATATTTGAAATTATCTTCTTTTTCGTCATCGCCGGTCACCTTAATCGACAACGGGTACTGACGACCACAATCGTCCGCGCGTCTTCGTTGCTCACGAATAGATTCGTCCATATTTTCTATTTTCGCTTTCCATACTAACTTTGGCGATGAGGGTGCGCCGTCCGCACTAATTGATAAAACTTCGAATTCCTCGATATTTTTCAAAAACAAGAAATACTTTTGGATATGATTTTTCAGATCTTTCAAATATTCGCGAATTTGACCAGGGGTTATTGCATAATCCCGAATCTTGCTAGCTTCAGCAAGTTCTACTGAGCGTAAGGGCATCCGGAAAATTGTGCCTTCAGAACAGCCTTTGATGTCTAGATACGGTCTAGCCTGATGCGGGTATTTTTCAAGAAAGTTAGAATTGAATGGAAATTTCAAGCCATCCAATTGCTTCCCGTTCTTTGGTGGAAGAAACGTTCGGTGTGGATCAAAAAAACCAAGGAAGCCATCGCTCATAACAGAAGGGACGTCGGTGATATTATAGCACGAATTAAATCCTATCGGAAATTGTTAAAGAACCAATTAATTCTCTAATCTAGAGAACAGAGACCTGTGAAGCTCATGAAATCGAATGTCACCGACCTAGACCGAATCTCCCAATCGTATTTCCATCGTCTTGTTTTCCTCCTTCACCGAAATTCTGTATACCTCTGAAATCTTCATCTTTAAACTTGGCATCATTAAATATTAATAAAGCTGGTCCTTGCCAAACCGCCATATTTTTAAAATCGCCGGTTTCAGGCGTATGTATGCGTTCGTCGATAATGACACGATATATCCGTGCGCCTGCATCATCTGCGTTTTGAAGAAATTCGCGGATAATGTGCTCCCATGCATAATCCTATAAAGTTATCAGATTAAATGAATGGGATCTCTAAAAATAGCTTGTCATTGAGGAGAATCTGAAATTTTGAATAGACATACACGGATAACATTCTTTATGGCGTTAACCAAAGTTTGTCTTGGTTCAAATGCTTCAGACTCGATAGAATCCATCTTCGGATGTCGGTTGTAGTTTAATTGTATGCCGTAGGTTGTATGCAATGTTTGTTGCTTTTATATAAGCAACACTGGCGCAGATGTCATGGAGTACAAACCTTTAAATGAATGCGGTATTGTCTAAATAAATATGGTAAGTGTTATTTGACAAACAAACCCATGCACTAAAGTGATAAGAACGCCATATTAATAATAGGCGATGGTGTAATCCAATCTCTTGATTTTTGGATCACGCTTTACCAGAATTAGTTGCTCGTTTAACCAGCGTTTGTCTGATATTATTCAACAACTTTCCATCTTTAAACTACCAATCCGACTTTTAAATGGCAAATGGTTCGGGGGACACAATTAAAGAACGCCAAAGCGTATTTTCATAGGTTAGTCAGAATCGGATTTTGGAGGGGGCACTTTGTTTTCGGTTCTGGACAATCAAAAGGGGGTTTTTTGGGTTTCTTTTCTTTTTTTCTGGGGAGGGGGGTTTTGACATTCAACTTGTATAACTTTCTGCGTTTGAGCATGCGAAACCAACATTAATATTAAAGTTATCAAATCGTGGCAAGACTGAAGTTGCAAAACACAGCTTCCAAAATGCAGGTGTAACCGATGTTGTAACTGCTAGTCCGTAATTGTACCACTGGATGCAGGTATCCATATTAATACGTACAAAGTGAGAGTAACACCCCTTATTATTATCGTGGAAATCAATGGAAATATGAGTGAGAAGAGCGACAAACGAATATCATAGAATGGAAACATGACCATAATTGGAATGCGGAAAAATGAAACGAATACAACTGTTATACATAAATTATGAATAGTAATGTTTAATATTAACTAATGATTAAACAAGGATGATTATACCATTGGTTCCAGGATAGGAATTCTGAAGATTAGCAAGTCAATCACAGAACAAGCCTTTAACGAAGTATTAGGACACCTTAAGAATTTCGAAAATATGAAGTTCTTAAACCGCTCTCTTATTGTAGCTACTTTTATTGTTTCAAATCCAACAATTCCCCGGTGATAACTTAGCAGAGCATTGGAGGACTACGACCAGTTGTCTGCTAATTTACTGAACTTACAGTTTGCTGTTCAGGAGATCATTATGATTTCCGTATGAATATTATAGCGAATGCTTGCTCCGCTGTCGACGGGAAATGTCTAGCTTATATGAACTAAGCCTGCACTTGTGAATATTCGTCTAGACAAGGATTGATGGCGATTAGTAAATAGTGTGACTAGCGCATCGTTTGTTGTCACTGAGAGCGCTGAATAAAGTGATGGCAAGAGAAACTTGTGCCAAGAACATCACCACGTTCACACTATTTAAAATCCTCTAAACAATAGGAATCAGATGTGCTTTCAAAGACAGAATGGGAACGACACATATCTAAACTAATCGGTAGCATTGGCGGGCCAGATTTTAGCAACTTCAAAACTTGTTCATTCTAAGATTTCATCGTTTTGCTAGCCATAGACTCGATAGTATGATTGTCAAATCACTTCTGTTATGACAGGTCGTACGTATTCCATGCGCTTTGACTTACAGTACTGGACTACTTGAGATATTATTCATAGAGTTGCTGTGACAATGGTACTGAAAAATGAAACTATTATAAACACTTTAATATTAAACGCTGCATTAGTACACTTATAACATAATGTGTATGTCTATTTTCTGAACATAGTTCATTTTGTAATAGTCATCTATAAACATTATTAAATAGACTAGAAGACATCCCCTTTCAATATTTTCTCTGCAAACCTTTCCTTTGCATTCTGATAAGCCTGAATAAACGTCTGTTCGGTTATTGGAATGTCGGTGCTTTCTGTTCGAGGTCGAGATACACGAGAGACGATAACATTGGAGTCCGTTTCCAATGCAATACTAGAGACAGAAGTTAATTGTAACGTTATAGAAGAATGTTAGAGCGAATGACGACAGAATGATGATAGATGAATAAGCATGCATGTTCAATCATTATGTCTTACCCATCGTCTATTGTCTCATCAAGAGCAAGAATAACAAGATCGAGATTGTCAACAATTGATCTCTTCTCAACCTGATGTCTATAAGAATACGGTTATTGAAGCATACCAGAGAAAGCTAAGAATGTTCTCTACAACACATCCTAGAATACGTACCTTAGCAAAGTAGACACAGCATCGTAGAAGGCATTCAGTATGCTACTCAAAAGCAGCTCATTTTCATCTGCTGATCCAACCACATAGAAAAACACATCGATATTGCTACGATATAGGACAACGTGATTGTCATATAGAATTATCTCTCCTGATTATAAGCAGATGGATAAGTCTGGCGGGTAGTGCTACGAATATTTGCTGTTCAGTTGTTGCTATCTTTACTAACTTACCACTTGCTCTTCTAGTCTTTTCGAACAATCCCTTCTCAAAAGCTTTTTGTTCTTTTACTGTCGGGTAAGCATTCTTTCCATAGTACTTGGCCAGTATTCTATTACCTTCACCGTCGAGAAGTATCACGCCAGTCGTCGTGTAGAGTGACAAATTAACCTTGCAATTAAAGAGGAGACTTTAATGCCGGTAGAGAAATATTGAGCTTATAGTATCAAATACTAACCATGTCTATTAATCTCACAGAAACAAAGCAGGTGAAGATATTTGAATTTCAGGGGCCCGAGACATCAAATTATTCGCCAATAGAATTGTGGCGTCCAGATGGTAGAAAGCTAATTTTCGGCATTCCTTGAGAATGCAATGTTTATTCAAGCAGTTACACGGCGTTTGTCCTGAAGCAGTTACACACCAGTTACGCTCGAAAAATCGCAATCCGACCCCAATTCGAAATAGGCACATTGTCTACTCATAAGCGACAGCTAATCAACATTGTTATCAAAATAAAATGTGCTTATTTCGAACTAGGTCGACCCGATTTGGGTCTTTCAAAGTAAGTTTTTGCGAGTCATTAATTAACTTCCCATTGTATGTCGACTATAGACTTTTGTACTCTTCCAATAAGCCAACGCCCCAACGACCGTTCCTTGCAGAAATCTTAATATATGATAATTTACAATAATAATAATAGTGTTTGTAATTAGAATTTTCTGATAAATGAGTTTTCGTTGGTCTTTATTAGGTACACTTGATAGCCGATAAATGATGGTGATATTAATGCCAACTAGACCACGGCATACTCGTTGTTTCGTGCTTGCAATCCGTTACCTACAAAATTCCCAATTTAGAAACCGCAGCAATTGCGGATATTCGAAGCTGTGAATCGCATAGTCAACAGTGTTGTAAAGAAGATTAGCAGGCTGCCATCAACGAATAGGCTATGTATTGCATATTCGCATTAATAATTGTTTCAATTCCCCCTATATTCTAATACTTCCAAATAAAAGGTAGCCTTGGGCTACCTCATTGAAGAAAAACTTTTGCACATTTTCATACTCAATGCCCATTACGCAAAATTGGTGCATAATTTACGTAACCCGAATTTACACATATTCGTGGTGGAGATCGACTTGATTGTTCTTACCAACAAGATGTTAATTCAAGGAACGGCTGCCAAATTAGATTAAGTTCAAGAACAAATGATGTTTATAATTTAGAAAATCTTTAAATTTGCAGATCAGATTCCCAATTTGACATCAGGATACTTTTTGGCCAATAAGAATTGCGATGTGACAGTGAAATATCATTACATTCACTGTGGGTATCATCATTGGTCATGAAGTTCTTCTTAACTGGCGGTTCGGGCTTTCTTGGCCGCAACCTGATCCGTTACGCTCTCCATAAGGATGACAAATTGAGCATTACCGTATTGTCACGGTCGGAGAAGTCCGATGAGATTATACTAAAGGCGGCCGGAAATGAGAAGCATAGAATTCAGATATTGAGAGGAAATATCGAGGATGAACAAGTGTTGATAAAGGGCGTTTCAGACGTAGAAGTAGTTATACACTTGGCCGCCAAGGTAAATTTATGATGGAAAAATGGCACCTATATACAGTAGATGCATTAACGCTGAAAATGTGGTCTTGTATAACTGTATCTATTTATTATCAAAATAAAGGTACAGCCTTGGGGTATGTTTTTCGATTTTGAGATAATAAATATTGGTGGAACTCGAAAGCTAGTAACTGCGATTGAACAATCGGCCAATAAACCACGCCTAGTCTATGTATCCTCCTTTACCGCTCTGGTATCTAACCACCACGACAAAGATAATATCCCTAATTGGGCCCCATACAGCAAATCGAAAGCTCTGTCAGAAGACATTGTGTTCAATAGTTCTCTAAGTGATAAAGTACTAATACGGCTTGGTTGGTTGTGGGGAAAAGACGATGATGTATTGTTGCCGAAGTTGATCTCTCTGAGTAAGAATCCATTATGGAAGATTTGTCCACGTACTTATCCAGTATCTACTCAACATGTCACTAACGCATGTGAAGCAGTATATCTTGTGGCAAACATTCCGTCGCTGCCATCGCAGTTGTATGAGTTTAAGGATCCTGATGGGGATATTGATATCGAAGACTTTCTAGAGTTATATGTAAAAGCAGCGTCCCAGCCCTCCAACAATGTACCTCGACCGTTTGAAAATTTCAGAGCGCCAAAGTGGTTGGTATGGGGACTCATCACGTTTGTAGAATGTATTCCATTCTTAAATTATGGGAAGAAGTGGGTAATGGAAGGAATGACGAGAGAGCCTTTGATGTTGTTGTTTAATGATTTCAGATTGGATGATGCAAAAGCAAGAAAAGAGGTTGGGTATGTTGGAAACGTTCGAAGAACTGAAGGATTCGATGAAGTTGCAGAGATACGGAGATGAAGTGGCAAATAAGGTTTTAGACGCTGTGAGAAGTGTGTGATACAGGCAAATAAACACACCCTACCCTTTTGTTTACTTGTTACACAACATCTAAAGAGAACATTTTTTTCCAACTTAGCATTCCTATAGTTGTCAGCAGGATAAAGTCCGATCATCCGTAGTCATAATTTAATGGAAAAAATAT